CAGAGGGGCAGCCTTTGGTGCTAATCTTGGCCATTGCTCTGTGTCATTCTGCTTAAGTCATTGAAATCCTCCCCTTTTGCATTCCACAGAGGCAGAAATCTCCAGGCCTCTCTCCTAGGACTATTCTGGGAACACAGAGGTTACAAAAACATTTGGTCAAAGCAAAATTCAACTAGCAAGCTCAATAATGACCCCACTCTGAACAGGGCATAACCGTAAAATAAGGGGGTGGCCGGTGAACCAGCTGTCCACCATTCGTCCCCCAGAATAGCACAACCTCCAGCCAAAAGTCAGGCAATGCTGCTCCCTCCTCTCCCAGTATTTCCTCTCTGCAGCCCTGTGGAATGCACCAATGCCACCTAGCTTAAAAAGAGCTGGACATGATTTCACAGCTAAGAAAAGCACCCCTTTTAACAGATCGTTACAATGTATTACGAAGACACTGAGGCTTTGAACAGCCAGCTGGAGAAAATTGAAAGTGGGTCTATTGATTTTCACAAAACATGTTGACTTCATTCTGCCCAGGAAGGTATCTGCTTGGGCATTTATTTTTGTACCTTTCCTCTCTGCCTAATGCCTCCCTCTTCAGATCAATACAAGGTAGGGCTACTGGAGTCCTGGGTGTTTCAGCACATTCATTCATTCACTCAGACCCCCATTGAGCCCCCACTCAGTGCCAAAGACTGTGAACTCTGTTATGGGTTTAATGGTGTCATCCAAAAGCATATGCTGAAGTTCTAACTCTTGGTACACGTATTTGGAAACGGGGTCTTTGTAGATGTAATCAAGTTAAAATGAGGTCATGCTGAATGAGGGAGGGCCTTAATGAAATGATTTATATCCTTAGAAGAGATTGGAGTGATACATCCATCTGTCAGCCAAGGAACACTAGGAATTGCTAGCAACCAGCAGAAGCTGGAAGAGGCACGGAATGATCCTCCCCTACAGACTCCAGAGAGTTTGGCCCTGCTGATACACTGATTTCAGACTTCCAGGCCCCAGGACTGTGAGAATAAGTTTCCGTTGTTTTAACCCACCTAGTTTGTAGTACTTGTTATGGTAGCCTTCGAAATGAAGACAGATGGAAAGAGCCCTAAGGGAGCTTAGAATCTAGTGTAAGTGCTCTGCTGAGGAAACCCTAGAGCCAGTGGCACTAGAGGAGGGGACTCCACCCACGAGTTCCTGCAGGCCGCGTGGCCTCACCCAGAGGGTCCCTGGCTTGAGTCAGGAACTGATGTTGGTTGTAGATTCCCTGATACCTTTTCCAGAGTTTCCAAGGTCTGAGGGTTGATTTTTCTGATGTAATTGGTCTCTGTGGTCGCATAGAAGTCTTCCCCACACCGCATGATGTTAATCAGGCAGTTGTCTGTGAAATCGGGGATCGTGTGGGACAGGTAGGAGAAAGCCCTAGGGAGGAAAGCAAATCAGCGGGTCAATGGCTGTGTCCACCAAGCTGGAGAGTTCTGCTTGAGATGGTTTTCGTTTTCCTACTTAAAATGCTCTACTTCAA